TCCCGGAGGATCGGCTTGCTGCCCTCGTTCACAAAGGCTATGGCTGTCCCCAGATTACCAGCTCTACCCGTTCCTGAAGAGAAGACCTCCTCCATCTCGAGCAGGGGTAATACTGTAACCATCTTACTGCCGATACGGTGGACGTAATCATCAATGTTATTAGGAAGATCGTAGTTGATAACGAGGTTAACGTGGCTAATATCCAAGCCTCTTGCAGCGACATCAGTAGCCACAAGAATGGGCAACTCTCCCTAACATACAATTATTCATCCTCTCGTCTTGCCGAAACTCATACGCTCTTAAAGGCCTTCAAAGCTTCCTCCCGCTCCCACTGCGATCGATCACCATGAATAGATGTTGCGGGATACCTATCCTTATCATACCCCCTTCCAACGAGTGTCTTGGCACTCACCTATCTCTTCTGAGCATATTTTCAATCTCATCTGCTTTACGTTTGGTCTCCACAAAAACCTAACACGGATCAGCTTAGACGCCCTCCTATCCTTATCCATCATACCAGTGTCAACCCCTCTTCCGTTTGCTCTTCCAATACGCGGTACAAGTCCCTCAACTTGGAGTTTTCATCAACATACCTATACAATAGACCCAAAACTATAAGTACTAAATCCACCATCTAAAGTACCTCATGATCTGCTTGATGGAGCCGTGGGTCGATCCAACACGCCCGACTGAAATAACAACACTTGTCCATCAAAGCCTGTAAGGAGGAGGAGGAAATCACCAGTTAGGTAGATGTAGTCCTTGAGGAAGTCCCGGGCAAGCTGCTGAATCTCTCTAGGGAAAGTGGCCGAGAACATCGCACCTGAGGTGAAGGACTTTCTGATACAACGCATGAGTGCTGCTGCTGATCGATGATACTCTGTCTGCCATCCCTCGAGCTAGGCATGTCCTCCTGCTCCACAATACGCCTAATTTGAGGTTCAAAACCCATATCCAGCATTCTATCAGCCTCATCGAATATAAGCATCTTGATTTGGCACAGGGACACACGAAATCTACAAGGAGTAATATTGCAAATGATACCACCGTCCTCCTCCTTCTCCCTCACCTCTCCATAAGGTCGGACAGCCTACCAGGAGTCGCCACAAGAATATCACAACCCCTTTCCAGCTCACGCAGCTGCGTACGGACATCAGCACCACCGTACACAACAACAGGGCGGATACCTACACCAGCACTAAGAAGGGGAGTTGTTGAATCACCAATCTACCAGTATTAAAGCAGAACTTCCGAGCTTCCTCGTGGATCTGGGACGCTAGCTCTCTAGTAGGTGATAGGATCTATAGCAAGGAAAGAGTGCTCAGAAGTGTTGATCAATGATGACCCTCCTCACCAGTGTGATGGGATACGCCTTCCTACGCCCATAATCTCCACTAGACGTCGCATCCGGTGGGCCGTCAGCGAGCATATTATGAATAGCCGGTATAAGGTATGCACCTACACCTCAAGGCATTCTACTGAAGCGTACTGATAGTAGTAATACCAGTCTTGCCGCTACCAGTCTGGGCACACGACATGAGATCACGCCTAGTTGTAAGGGTTGGGATAGAGTACTTCTGCACAGGTGTAGGACGATCGAAGCCACACCTAGGAGTTGGTGATGATGATGATGATGCCTCCCCCTCTACCACCCTGGTCGTCACCTTTTAATATTCTCCACGATAGCCGCAGCGACCTCACCACCATCGTTGAACTGCTCCAACGGGGATATTTCAGCTGCCCCCGCACCGGAGACCTCCACAGGGATCTTATCGTACCTGACGACGACGTTCATGAACCCCACCTCCTACCCAATATGTGCCCTAGTACTGATCAAAGTTGATGCCAGCATGGACAGCATTCTCCTGATCAAAGAGTTCTCTCTCATCCTCATATGGTGGCCTCCGACCGTCCCGACGAGCCCAGGTCCCATCTCCTAACGCATCACTACTGACCGCTCCGCCCTCCTGCCCTTCAGGAACTTACCCTGTGGAGGAGGTTGGGACCAATCTAGCCTGTCGTTGGCGCCTCTAGAGTGACCACCGTAACTACAATATACTACTCCTTCCCCCCCAGCCCCTACCCTTCCTTATTACCTTGGCTTAGATCCGAATCCGAAACGTTCATGATCCCGAGGGGCAGCACCGAAACGAGAGGAGCCGCCTGATAGCAATAATAGCCTTGATGAGCCCGAGCCTTCCCACTTACCAAATCCCCCCTCATGTGATCGGTCTCTTCCTTTGCCGCCACCGAAGGTCCTAACACGAGGAGTATGGTAAGAAGGTCTACGAGCCGACCTATTACGAGTAGGAATCTCTGGGTGCACCAAATCTACCAGATGATGAGGAGGAGGAGGTCTGCCTACCAAAGGCTGAGTGACCGAATGCTTCTTCAATATGACGTGTGCCGTGCTAACAACAACAAGTATATCATGGGAATCCCTACTACTAGTACTAATAATAAGATCACTCACATGGGGAGCGGTGTCGACTTGGGCGGCGGCTTCGGCTTCCATTTGCCTACGTTTATGAGGAGGAACGTACCTAGGGAGTACGGTGGTGATAGTTGGTGCGCATGGTAGTAGTACTTAGCGGCAGCAGAGGGTTGGGGGTTCTTCGTGGAAGAACCGTTCAAAGCTGCTGTGGCATTGTTCGTAGTGTTACTAGAAGGTACGTGGTTCATGGATATAACTACAACAACGACAACGGAATTGTTCTATCAATACAGTTCAGGAGCGAGAGAATCTCGACCATTTCCGGACCTCATCTGAATCCAACCAGAGTGGAACATAAGATATTCCCTAGGGAACAACGCGTGCAATTGTAGCGATAAATTCGCTCCACAAAATGAGGAAAATATTTTTTTTCTCGTCGATCACATCGACGGAAGCATTGATTTCAGTACCGCCTGAAACTATACTGTCCCTAGAGGAACCCCTCCACTCTGCTGCTCCCTCCCCCGAGTCCCCAGCAGCCCTCGACGAAAATCGACAACAATACTCACTTCGCTCCGCTGATCAACATCTCGCCCGCCAAGCTGATCGATTAGCCATTAAATCGCTGCTGGTCTTCCTCCATCACCCCCTTCGGAGACTTCCAGCCAAGGTAGTGCCTGGGACGGATCTTCTGGGCTTAGTCCGTTACTCTATGGCATTGTGGTAGCATTGAATGGTTCGGGCTCTCCTGTGTGAGTGATACATAGTATCGTTCGACGTTGTGTAACGCTGTGTTGCGGTCCTATATCGTCGTGGTTGCCTTCACGTGGAGTACTCGTATAACTAGAGGCTGTGGTAGCTATAGAAGTGTTGTTGCCTTCTTTAGATGGTACGTGTGTCTGTGCTACGTGATTGCCTGAACTCAATCTTGAACGCCGAGAAGGCTGGTAAGAGGCAGGTCCTCGTCCGACCTTGCTCTAAGGTCATCGTCAAGTTCTTGCAGGTTATGCAAAAGAATGGTAATAAGGGTATTTGAGTCTAGATAGAATCTCCTCTACTGCCCGTCCTCTCTCGATTAATGCATGTTTCCTCAGGCTACATTGGCGACTTCGAGATCGTCGATGACCACCGTGCCGGCAAGATCATTGTCAACCTCAACGGTCGTATCAACAAGTGCGGTGTTATCTCCCCTCGCTTTGATATTGAGACCGGTGATATGGAACAGGTATTATTAGTTTACATAGAGTAATTTTTTAATTGCAGTTATCTTGTTCAGTTGGCTTCCGATCTGTTGCCTTCCCGCCAGTTCGGCCACGTTGTCCTCACTACTCCTTACGGTATCATGGACCACGAGGAGGCCCGTCGTAAGCATACTGGTGGCAAGGTCGTTGGCTTCTTCTTCTAAATCTATGGGTTATCATTAACCTTCGACGACGACGAAGAGAGGTCATACGCCACCGCTTGTGTAGCAGCCACTGACTCTCTCGGGTTTCGAAGGAGGTTTCTCCAGGAAGGCAGTGGCCATAGTGTTGTGTTATCTAGTATTGTAAGGGGTATGTAGGAAGTGTGAGGTGATCACCTCTTATGGAGGGTTGTGGTCGACGTTATATTATAGATGGAGTATTCATTGATTCTAATTGGACGAACTCGTGCCTGTATTCTCATGGAATGAACGCGGCCAAGAAAGCCTCGTCGTGGCTGTGTTTAAAGTGGGTGCAATAATATGCTGAATTGACACATTCCAAAATCATATCTCGATTTCGTCGAAGGATGGACATATTGAGGATCGTAGGCTGGATGGGTTGTTGTGTGGACCTCTCATGACGTGATGTCTAATGATACAAAACCACGTTTACGAATGATATTAAGGCTTTTTTCATGTCTTGAGAATTTCGAAGAGTCCGACAGTTTAAA